TTTTTCAGTCTCATCATACATGAAAAAAAAAATTTAATCAAGTATAGTTTCACACTTGATTTAATTATACGTCATACTTAATTATAAGATACAATATACTTTATTCAAGTATACTTATCCAAAGTCCACACTTAACTGCATGGAGAGTAGCCAGTACGCTCGGCTACTTTGTAATAAGAAAGAAAAATCAAGTTCAACATCCACCCTTGAATCAAGTATGCCCCGTACTTGAGCACTTGAGTAATTGAATAATTACTGTGCTTGTAGTGTAATCTACACCAAAATCTAAGTACACTTGAATCAAGTGTGCGGTGTACTTGATTCAATTATATTTGCATCCAAGTGTAGATTCAAACTTGTACTTGCATCGTGTACAAGACATCCGTAATTCAAGTATACTTGTCTCCATATGTAGATTCAATTACATACAAAGTAGCTAACGCACTCGCCTACTAAAAATAAAATAAAAAAACCCTTCAATTGATGTTCACCGCAGACTTATTAACAATATCTACAAAATATTAACATGCGAACTGTAAGATAACACCACAAATCCACGGGAATACTTGAGTTGAATAAACTTGAAAATATGAAAAAAAGGTGAAATGGCATGTAATTTAATTCTGCAAATAAGAAGACAGTTGGTTGTAAGTGGTGGGGAAGTTGATAACCGAGGAGGAGCATACTCCACGCCATTGGATGACTCGTTAATTGCCGTCGTCCTGGTGTACTCACCAGCAATTTTCGTTGTTCCATGTAGGAAGCTTGTCCCTATCGCCACGGTTCGCAGTCACGTGTCCACCTCATTCCGATAGCAAGTCATTTCTCCCAGGTCTTTGACATTTTTTTATGTATATATATATATTTTTTTTTTACAATCTCTTTACCCCGCTCGTTTCATTTAACGGACACTCGCGCCGAGTGGACAATAAACAGAAAGAGGAAAAAAATTGAGAAATAGAAATTTCCATTACTCTGTTCCGTACGTGGCCAGGTAACTGCTGGATATTTGCATAGGCGGACGTATGCAGCGTGAGAGTCTAACCTGACT